CATAGAATGTATATCTAACATGCAACCTGTGTGTGGTGTCCAAATCGAATGTGAACATGCAAGACTCATTAAATTTTGTGAAAACCCTTTGAACAACCATATAACCCTTAAGATGTGTCGTCCATCCTAAGAAGTTACACATATTAACCACAAGAAGCCTTAGTCAATTTTAGGGACAACCCTCCACCAAAATTGCATCAAAATACTTTTCTAAATATCCTAATGGTCGTGAATCACTAAGACAATTAGATAGTTTTAACCGGTGATTAACAACTCAAAACCTACATGCATAAATTCATAAGCAAATTAAAAAGAGACTACATATTCTTGCTAAGGATCATGGTCTCACCCTAGCAAAAAGAATTAGTTACGCATATTCATAATAAAAATCACAAAGTCTTTATTGAAATTGAAAAAGAATGAAAACACCTTGAAGTATAAGTGTTGAAATGTCTAAGCTTTGCCCCAAATCTTCTCTCCAAAAATTGCACAAAAAGAAAACCTTGGCCGGCCAAAAAAACTTATTTATACTACTCTAATTAAATCATCCTAGTCAAAGGTCTTAGAATAAGACTATGAAACTAAATAAATTGAAATAAATTAGGAAACATAATCCTAAATTAACTTGGAAATTCACCCAAAATCCTTCACATCCACGTTTTGGATCCATATCAGCTCCAAAACTAGCCCAAATAGCTAAATTTAAAGCTTGAGCTATTCTGAACACTTTACTAGAAGGCCACAAACCCATATGAGATCATCTTGGGCTTCAAAACCTACATTTAAGCCACAAAATGTCACTTTCCAACAACACATACTGCTCCTTTATTTAATCGCCAGAAAATAACCGCTTGGTAGAAATATCTGAAATTTTGAAACAAACACGGCAAGAGACACATGAACGTCCTCCAATTTGAATCGCTCCAAAATTCGTTCGTCCATTTGATCATGTTTTGCTCTAGAGGAAGTCGAATGTCCTATGTTGAAAATATAGAGCAAAGTATCAACATTCTATCAAAATAATTACCAAAATATACAAAGAATGAGGTAAAATATAACCCTCACTTTGAGCTTGCCTTTGGACTATTGTATGTTCTGGCACTTCCTGCCCTTGGTTATATAATATTACCCTTTCAAAAAAAAAAAACATAGTTCCGGTGTTTTAGCTTTACACCTTTCAAGATTCAATATTAAACCTCTTTTTTCTTTCAATGTAAGAGAGTTATTATGTACTCTCCTGTAAAAGTAAGATAAAGAAAAAGAGGAGTGCATTTTGATTTTTTTTATCATTTATTATTACGATTTAATGAAATTTCTCTTCATTTAAATGAGAATTTTAAATTTGATTTTCGTCGAAAACGAGTTTAAAGAGAGAACAATTTCCATACGCTATTCGTTTAATAACAACAAAGAAACGGGTGCAAGTTTGGTTAGTCTTTGAATGGGAAAAGCCTAAACCCTTTGCATGGCTCACTATGCATGTATGGTCTGAAAAGGCTTAACTGTTTATAGTTTAGCTGCTTTATCCATTTTTGATAAATGAAAAATGATCATCCTATAATAAGCAATAAGATGGTATGAAAAGGATTGGTTGGGAGTCGTCGACATTTGAGATTCATTTTGAAACTATGATCATAATCACCGACATAACATTCCAATTCAATAGAATAATATTCATGCATTAGTTTTTCTCCTCATGACATTATTTATTTGAAAAATCATGTGATCTTGAATCGTTTCATATAAGTTAGTCTCTTTTGGACTAATGACCACAGGACTTTCTTTTCAGTTGATGCCGTCATTTGTGCTTCCCTCCTGTAATTACTCAACAACTGCAGATGAACCTCATTAGACAATTTCATGGGGAATTAACCTAAAGAAAAGGATGTAGGGGATCTGAACGAAAGGAAAGTATACTTGTTCAACCAAGTCAGCTCTCTCTCTCTCTCTCTCTCTCTCTCTCTCTCTCTCTCTCTCTCTCTCTCTCTCTCTCTCTTAAAAGAAACTCAACTAGTTTTAAGAAAAGCGTTCCCTGAGGGTGCGTTTGGTACGTGGGACGGGACGGGACGGAACGGGACGAGGCGTTCCGTCCCGCGTTTGGTGCGCCAAAAATGGGTGGAACGGGCTGTTCCACGGGACAAATTTTGGGTGTTTTTGCGTCCCACCTCCACCCCCTGGAACGGGTTTGTTCCACGTCTGTGGAACACAATGTTTTACCATTTTAAGACAAATATACCCCATGTCTTTTTCAAAAATTACACCTTCGTTCCGTCCCGTCCCGTTCCGTTCCGTCCCGTCCCGTCTCGTCCCGTTCCGTCCCGTCTGCGTACCAAACACACCCTGAAAGGGAAGATTGGAGAAAAATTCCTAGGAATAAAACATCGTCCAAGTTTCAAAACTAGTGAAAGATTGGCTGCACAATCAACACGCGTACGTCAAGTTAAAGATTCCAAAAAACAATAATGGAGGGTTTGCAGACATGATTGTAAATCCAATACTTGGTTTACGGCGACAAGAAAATGACCTAATCTTTCTATATTGACAGGCCAACAAAGTTATGATATTTAGACAGCATTGGAAGTGGTTACCATGTCAACTTGATACCTCTTTGCCTTTCTTAGATTTTTTTGCTATTTTTGTGAGATGTCTACGTACGTAAGCCTTTTACCCAACAGTTGCACAATTTCTTTATTTTTTGGGTTTTTCTACCATTTCAGCTATTTGGAAAGCTCGAAATAAGTTTATTTTTTAGGGTCACCTAATCTATTTTCATCATCTTTACATGTTTATCAATTCTAAGATCGTTCATGTGAGAAGTTTATTCCTAGTTATTCTCAAAGTTTTGACGCTCGTATTATTTCTTCTATGGGCATCCAACTCGCAAGGTACCAACTATTCTTCATGTGCTTTGGTCTTCTCTTTGGTTTCTTAGAATTAAATTTAATGCAGATGGTTTGTCTAAATGAAATCCTAATCCTATTGCTTGTGGGGGAGAGTTTTAGTATTGTCATGGTCAGTTTCTTGGTGGTTTTTGCCAAGGAATTGGTCATTGCAATTTTTTTTTGCAGAATAATCAATAGTTATTATTGGTATAGAGTTTGCATATCAATGGGGTTGACATTGTCTTTGGCTAGAAAGTGACTCTTCTAGTGTTATTTCTACCCTCCAATCGACTGATTTTGATCCTCATTGGCCTCTTCATACGCAATGGTCTATTTGTTGAAAACTTTTCTTGAAAACATTTCTTGAGAACTTTTCTTGAAAGCAATTTTCTTTAAGACTCAAAAACTTGTTTAGTATGCAATTTAAAAATTTTAAATCTTACAATTTAAACTAGACAAAGAAATTCACAAAGAGGGGGTCGAGGGAGAAAGAGGGGAGAGAAGGAAAGAAAGTAAGACGTGATTGGAGGAAAGAGAAAGAAGAGAGATGACCGGAGGAGATATAGAGGAAGATGAGTAACAGAAAGAACCGAGAGAATGAAGAGTGCGAATTTGAGGAGAGACGGAGAAAGTAAAAAAATAAAAAAGAGAAGGCAAAGAGAGAAAGAAGAAAAGAGAGAAGAGAGAGATTTGGAGTAAGAGGAGATGAGAGAGAGAAAAGAAATGAGTGTTTAAGTTAAAAACTTTAAAAACTAACTTTTTATGTTTTTAAAGAATAGATTATAGTTTTGAGTTAGTCTTAAGTTCAATTTTGAAAATAGTGCTACCAAACAAGTTTTTAAGATCCAAAACTTAAAAATTGTTTTTTAGTTTAAAAAGTTGGATTTAAGTAGAATACCAAACAGACCCTTAATAGGAAGCAAAATGTGAAACTTAAACAAAAATATTTCTAAATTTAAGATATTGTTTTAACCTAGTAATCTTCCGAATTTGAGTGTTTGACTCTGAAGTTGTTATATTTGAGTTGTCATGAGCCTAAATCTGCAAAGAATGGATTTTGCTGCTAAATTTGTGAAGCTAATTTTTTATTCAATAAAGCCATTTCAGTCTTTATTGAGTCATACTAGTATACGTGGCGCCAAGTATTAGACTCGGACACGTGTTAAGAAGCCAAGTCTAGTTATATATACAAATTCAAAAAATAATATTCAACTCTGGCTTCATCGTGTGAAGGAATAGAGAATTTATGTATATCCCCTACGACTAACAATTACGAACCAAGTCCAAGCACAAAGGTATGCAGTATTTAATCAGTATTTTTATATGTCATAATATAAACAGAGAAATTACATAGTATTATAGTTTAGTGATATTTTTTTTCATTAGATCTTAGATTCATTTCTCATTAAAGACGACTTTGAATCATATTATTATGGAGGCAGATTCTCTGCCCCCCCCACTTCCCTTCTGTTTTGTGTGGTTACGGTTAAGAAACGTCAACATTTTATATTATTTTTTTATAGTGATAATAAGACAAAAATGAATAGTAATATAAAATGTTGACGTGACTTAACCGTGACGACACAAACAGAAGGGCACGGAAAGTGGGAAGGCAGAGAATCTGTTTCCTATAATTATTGCTCGCTCATTATGAAACATGACTTACTTTCCAACTTCTTAATATAATTATATCGTTTGTTGAAAAAATATATATAATATAATATAAACAGAGAAAATAATATCTTTTTTGTTCGTCTAGTTATTTTATAACACGTAAAATACTGAATTGAAGGCAAGAAAATTTCGCGATCTCAGACGCTCATTAACTCGGGATGGCACAAAGTGATCTTCTCCCAATACATAAATAAACAATTTTGGGGAAAAGTCCCGCCTCCCTGTCGGCCTCTTCTTTCCACGTATGTCAGTTCACCTAAAGTAGACCCAACCAATCCGCTGCAACTTGTCCTCTTTCATTTGTTTAATTAAGCCAACCAATTACCCCATCGAAGTTCTATAAATTCCACATTCAGTTGCCTTGCAATGGATAAAACTGTAATGCAGTTATCCATCTTCTCTATTTTCTTCAACACCTTCAAGCCCTCTTCCACTTTTTCCCCCATGGAGTCCCTCTCTGTTGGTATTAAGATGCCCAAATGGCGCAAAACCCTAAAAACACTGCTAGTCCTAGTACATTGCTTCAAGATCTTGGTGGTAGTGGCACTTATCCATCTAGGGTTCCTGAAACCTCCGCAACAAATGACTCAGTCCATGGACGAGCAGAATCGCCAAAACCCTAATGGTCATATTCTCATGTTCGACCGTCTGTGCCGGTCGATGGTCCCGGTTCCGATCCACGTTTTAACAGCGTATATCAAGAGTCTTCCAGTAGTGGAGTTTGGTCGTGTTTTCGAAAAATACACAAAGCAAGAAGGTCAGGTGACAGAATGCAGTATATGCTTGGAGTGCATTGAGAGAAGTCATGAGGTGAGGGAACAGTGCAACTGTGATCATTTGTTTCACAGGGAGTGTTTAGATGGTTGGGTGAATCAAGGGCAGGTGACGTGCCCTTTGTGCAGAGCTGTGCTGTTTCCTGCCACTAGTGAAAAGACGAGCTGCGGCGGAGGTCATGCATGGACGGTAGACAGGGATGCTTACTTTGAACCTTTGATAGGTTAGAACTTAGAACTTAGAATTTCACTGTGGGATGAGTAAATTTTTGTTAACTCTTCCCCAGGGCCGGCCCAGGCCCAATGAGGGCAAGGCGACCAACCGGGTCCAAAAAAATTAGGAGCACCAAAATTATTAATGTGGTATATTTATATATGTTTTTATAAGGGTATAAATTTATAAAATTTGGTTTAACGACAAAGAAATTTAACTATAACTGGTGATTTTGTTGTTTGAAATTAATGAGGAGGTCTTGAATTCAAAACACTATGTGTGCTTATTTAAATTCTAACTTTTACAAATTTCTTTTCATAACAGTATAAATTTATAAAATTTGGCTAAATGATCAGAAGTTTAATTAGAAGCAATGATTTTTGTATTTAAAATTAACGAGAGATCCTAAGTTCGAAATGCAATGTGCATGTTTATTTTTTTATTTTTTTTTCAATTTTTATGAATTTTTGTTTGATTATTAATTTAGTTTTAATTACTAGTTAGTAATTATGTGGGTTGCTATTTTTAAACATTCGTTCCAATTCAAGTCTAATCTTCAACAAAGGGTAATGCATAGACTAAATTTTTAGACCAAATTTGCAAATCATAGGACGTGTCATCAAAATGTTTAATTTGGTGCTCATTCATTACTTATATATATCCGTAAAGACTCAAAAATATCATTATATTTTTAGTCCTATATTGACGAGGTTAGTAAATAAGAAAAAACACCTCACAATTTATACAAAAACACTTTAAAAGTTCAGATGGAAGACAAAACTCATAATCTATCTACTTGTAAGCCTGAAGTTTTTTTTGTTTCCTTCTCTCGATACAAAATAAATTAGTTTTTTCATGTTTTTAAATTACTGAGTTTGAAGTGCTTTTCAAAATATAATTTTATCGATGTCTTACATGTAAAAACAAATATTTTTTTATATGAAGTGAGGGCACATTTTTTGACATCGCTCCGGGCCTTAAAAATCTCTAAACCGGCCCTGCTCTTTCCCACAAGCCTCCCAGACTGTAAATTTCTTTTTCTTTTTTTTTTAAAAATAGTTTGTACAAAATTACTTGTTTTTGACTTTTTAGGTAACTCAACAAAATGAGTAGCCCGTTATATAGAGAACGACTTAAGTGAAATAAGCTTATTGTCATACAAAGTCTTCAGTAAATAAGATGAGAATATGTATTAGACTTTTTCTATGTCACCATGTATTAGTTGCACGAATTGTCATAATAAATATGATAAATCTCTCAATAAGGTATAAACAATTAAGTTTAAAGTGAACTTGAAGATGAAATTTGGAAGTGGATTTGCTTCGAACCTTAGTGTTTGGAATTTAGGGATCAATTCATCTGGATTGCACAAATTCAATCTAATGATCCGTATTAACTTATTTTTTTGGCCCATTACACAAAATCAACGACTTTGATTTCTTTTATATACCAATCAGGAGGCCAAGTGATTTGAGGTTCGGAGCATATCCAATTCCGAAATTCCAATGGCTTAGCTTTTGGGAGCCGCAGGGGGCGGAAATGATAATGAGTAGCCACTCTAATGAAATATCTGTTCAACAAGCCCCGGGCTTCTTTTTGGTCTAGTGGGAGAGGTTGAGTCGTCATGTCAGATTTGATGGCCTCCAGAAAAGCAGATGTTTATCGATCCTTGTGGTAGCTTCCATAGACGTTCTAGTTCTTCAAGATCACCTAGTTGGGTACATACAATCGTATTTCACCCATAATACACTCGTTTCACCCCGATAATACGTATTTTCACCTCTTGAAACTCTAAGGTGTTGTCTAATGGTGAGATAAAAATCAAACACACACAATGCAGTACGTAATTTTTAGTCTACACAATACAATTGGGTTAAAATACCCGACTACCGGTAATCCGGAGCATCCAAATCTTTTTCCAACAAGGGATGTTGCTTTCAACACTATTTACAGTAAGTAATCAAAAATAATATTTAGTAAACAATACATTGTTGCTATTGTCTGGACAAATGCCCATCGGCACATAACATCGCTTTATTTTATTGTGATGAAACAATTAAATTAAAACAACGACCAAAATTAAATATGAGTAATAAGAGACCGAAAAAAATGTATAATTATTATTTTCCAATTATGTTGTTGCAACTTGCACATTGTGAATTTGAAAGCCAAGTACAAATACTTTTAAGGGTGTGATATCTATACATTCTTTTTTACTTCTTTCACACCTTTTTAATTTTCGGTCGTCTGATCGGATGAATTAAATAAGATCAAACAATAGATATTAACAATGAGTATGAGAGAAGTAAAAAAAGGTGTGTGGATAGCACACCCCATACTTTTAAAATACAACTACTTCTTTTCCCTCCGGGCAGGGCAATACTCAGAGGCCAACCGTCCAATTTAAAAAGTTAACTAACAGTGACAGGTCGGCTAAATTGACACACGTCGGATTGGGGTTGCAGATATTGTTCTTATCCCAACGCCCGATGAGTCCGACCGACATCCAGTGCTGCTTATACTTTTCCCTCCTGGTCGCCGAATTCTAGCCACTCTAATCCAATCCAATCATATCCGGAAGGAAAGGAACCCCCAATACTTATATGTGTATCCATCTGCCTTCTCTCTGCAACACAAACACCTCCAATCCCTCCCCCTCTAATCCCCCATGGAATTTCCCTGCGTTATTAGCATGTCCAAATTGCGCAAAAGCCTTGAAAAACTGCTAATCTTTACACGCTGCTTAAAGATCGTACTGATAGTAGCACTTAGCCATCTGGGACTGCTTAAACCTGCAGTAGAGATGAATGAGCCAACTGCCGACTCCATGGAGCACCACCAGCATTCGAATCCGAACAATTCGATACTGGCGCTCGATCCTGAGTGCCCGTCGATAGTCTCGGTCCCGATCCACGTTCTAACGGAATACATCAAGAGGCGGCTTCCGGTGGTAGAGTTTGGTCAAGTTTTCGAAAAATACACAAAGCTTGGAGATCAAGAAACAGCTTGTAGTATATGCTTGGAGTGCATAGAGAGGAGCCATGAGGTGAGGGAGCAGTGCAACTGTGACCATGTGTTTCACAGGAAGTGTCTGGATGGTTGGGTCAATCAGGGGCAGGTGACCTGCCCTTTGTGCCGAGCAATGCTGTTTCCAAGCAAGAGCGAAACAGTAAGCTGCGGCCGAGGAAATTTAGGGTGGCCGGAAGGGGATGACGCCTACTTCGGTAGGTTAGAATTCATTGTGAGATGAGTAATTTTTCTTTGAACACTTTTACAAATTTACTGATAAGCCACATATGTAAGGGTCTGTTTGGTATTCTATTTGAATCCAACTTTTTAAACTTAAAAATAAATTTTAAGTTTTGGACTTTTAAAAGTTGTTTGATATGATTATTTTCAAAAACTGAACTTAAAGACTAACTCAAAATTATAGTTTATTTTCGAAAAACACAAAAAGTAAGTTTTTAGAGTTTTTTAACTTAAATTCATTTCTTTTCTCTCCCTCCTCCCCTCTTACTCCAAATCTCTCTCTCTTTTCTTCCTTCGCTCTCTGCCTTCTCTTTTTGTGTTTTTATTTTTTATTTTCTTTGTCTCTCCTCTAATCCGAACTCTTCATTCTCTCGATTCTTTCTGTCACTCATTTTCCTCTATATCTCCTCCGATTATCTCTCTTTTTTCTCTTTCCTCCAATTACGTCTTACTTTCTTTACTTCTCTCTCCTCTTTCTCCCGACCCCCTCTTTGTAAATTTCTTTGTCCAGTTTAAATTGTAAGATTTAAAATTTTTAAATCGCATATCAAACAAGTTTTTAAATCTTAAAAATAATTGTTTTCAAAAAAAATTCTCAAAAAATGTTTTGAAAAATGATAAAAAATTACCAATTCAATTACTTGATGTATACATATTTCTCATGAAACACTTGAGAAACTGGAATTAAACAACAAAATGTGCACATTTTATTAGCAATTTTTTTTTTCCCTTGACCATTTCTTACAAAATTACTAGTTTTTTTTTTTTTTGCTAAGTGGTAATTACCAATTTGATTAAATTCTTGAAGAGATTCAATTACATTCTTATAAGCCTCAAATCTGAATGAATTGGCAAATACTTTATTTCCAAAACCTCTCAGACATAACAACAAACACCTTGCCTGCAATAAAAAATGGGTTCGCTTCGCTCATAAAGTATAACAGAACAACAAATTGTGCACAATAATTCTTTGAATAATATATCTTCATTGATGGAATTGGAAGCAGAACAAGTCTAATTGGAATTACATATTCAATGGGAACTCAAAAATCAAAAAGCCCCAAATTTTGAACGAGGGATTTGATTCTACAAATCTTGATTTAACCTCCAAAACCGTAGAGGGTTCGACCCTGCCTCTTGAGAGCATAGACCACATCCATGGCAGTCACCGTCTTCCTCCTGGCATGCTCGGTGTAAGTCACAGCATCACGAATCACGTTCTCCAAGAAGATCTTGAGAACCCCTCTGGTTTCTTCATAGATGAGGCCGCTTATGCGCTTGACTCCTCCTCTGCGAGCGAGCCTTCGGATGGCAGGCTTGGTGATCCCCTGGATGTTGTCCCTCAATACCTTCCTGTGCCTCTTGGCTCCGCCCTTTCCCAGCCCCTTTCCTCCCTTTCCTCTCCCTGTCATTTTCCCGAAAATTTTAAATCTTCTGACCTCCCAAACAAATTTGTTGTGTAAATTGAAGTGAATGTGGTGAGTGAAAAATTGAGAGGGAAGGGGGATTTTATACTGGAGAGCGGAATCGAGCGGTCTTTTGAATTTTTGCGTTGCCGCCTCAGCTGAGATTTGTGCGCGGATTTTTTTCGTTTAGTTTCAATTCGCACTGTTGGATTGAAACTTATCGACGGCTGACCTGGTCGATCCGCGTGAATGAAATTTGCATTGATGTAACCGTTGATTATGTGTCATCGGACGGCTGAGAAAAGTTTTGAAAGAGAAGTTGGATCGTGCAAATACGGTTTTGCCGCTGCCGCAGTTTTTACCTTTATTTTGGATAAATTACATTTTGCATCCTGAAGTTTGAGATCAATCGTAATCTCATACAATATTTTTAAAATATTTCAATATCATGGATTTACTTTTATTTTTTTTCAATTTTACACATCCGTTAAAAAATTTGTTAAATTAACCGTTAAGTGATAACGTGACAAATATAAAATCTACATTTGTGCTGATATGGCTGCCAAACTTTGTACTAAGAAAATAAAAAATAATAAAACAAGGATTAGTTAATAAAAAAATAAAAACCCAGTTGTGATGCAAGTTGTGAGATCTTTGGTTGCGGTGGTGGTAATTGAAAGCGTAGTTAGCAGACGTATATGAGGTCTAGGAGGGTGAACTAAGCAGTACTGGGTTACTGGGGACGAAGAAAGCCAAAATCCTTCACTCCAAATCCTCTTTTTTATTTTTTAAAGTCTTTAATTATTAAAAATTTTGAGTTTTTTTTATTAATTAATCCTTTTTTTAATTATTTTTTATTTACTTGGTGCAAAGTGGCAGCCACATCAGCACCCTACATTTGCCGCCTCATCACTTAACGGTTAACTTAATAGATTTTTTAATCGATGTATGAAATTGAAAAAAAAATATAAGTAAATGTTTTAGATTGTAATGTTTTAAAGATATTGTATGAGGTTGCAATTGACCCCAAACTTGAGGATGCAAAATGTAATTTACCCTTTATCTTTTCATTTTAATAGGACGCCAGTTTACCTATGGGATTTTTGCTTCTAATTTTTTTTTTTTATAAGAAATAGATGAATTGAATCTTCCTTTATCCCTTAAGGCCCGTTTGTTACACCCTAAATGGGACTACAATCCCATGCTTGGTGCGGCAAAGAATTAAGTTAAATGAGACCAGCTTGGATTTGTTTGGACTCCACCGTTCAATAAGTGCTTTTAAAACATGTCCATTGCTATACCTAAATAGGAAGAGCCACCATATAATATCAATACGAAACAAATATAGGAGTAAAAAAAGTTTTCAATGTATCAGAAAATAAATCCTTAACATATAGAGACTCATCGACACTTGGTGTATATACCTATATATAGAGACATATGATAGAGCCCCTTGGGCAATTTGAGTGAAAAAACTGGCCCAAAAAAGTTAAGTGCTGTTGTGCAACAAAATTCGGAAATGGATCCTCTCCAGATCCTTATGTGAGGATTTTAGGGATTTCTACATCTCAGTCGTTCATTGTATATTGTGCGATCAGTTTTCATAAAGTACTATTTATGTTTAATTTTAAATAGTAAAAATCAAATAATTTATGACCGCACGATACACAATAAACCGCTAAAATGTAAGAATTTCTCACATAATGGATTGGGAGAGGATCCATTTCCCAAAAATTCTACTTGCCATGAACGGGTGCTATTGGACTCACCAAACAGCCGCGTCAGTAGTTGGAGGCGTGGATCCTAATTTACAACTGGTTTTTTTTTTTTTTTTTTTTTTTCTCAACATTTTGAAATGAGTGGTCCACAATTTTGTCTTTCAAATTTTTTTTGTCGTTGAGGATCACGGTTAAGGATCAATGGTTAACTAATTCTTTATTCATTTCAAATTACAACACACACCAACTATATACATAATCAATTTGCAAGGACATTGCAATTTGGTTAGTTTCTTAAAACATAGTCAACAAGAGTTAATTAGTAACATTACAATGATATTGCTAGTTACTAATTGAAAGCATAAAAACTGATTTGCAAATTATTTAATTTTCTACTCTCCGTTTATTCAATAATCGTTTATTGAACATGAAGGGCACTTTTAAAACCATAACAAGCGTTTATTAGATATTAACACCACTAAACATACATTACATAGTTTGCATAAATAAATAAAAAGTGACAATGCATTTTGTTCAAATTTCATAGTTTGACTATCCAATCTAGTGATATTTATTCATAAATTTGGAAACTCAATCCAATCGGACATACGCTTGAACTTTTAATCCAAGCCAATGTCAATTTGCATTAATTCCGTCAGATATCAATTACTCTGGCCTGACGACTACATTGATGCCTGGTGGAGGCTCGATTTGGGCTTTATACGTTGAGCTGACAAGACCAACATTCTTTACGGTTCGAGTGAGTGTGATAGGATTTCTTAGGTTTGGAATGGTGATGGAAGGCAGGTTCACATCAAGAATTTGGAACAGGACATGATGTGGCATTTTCAACAAGTAGAGAAACAGTTGAGCTGTTGTAGCCAAACGCACAAAGGTAGCTTATGTAGTCATTCTTGTCCATATCGTATATGAGACCAGGGTAAGCTGCCTTGTTCGGGTTCACTAATCCTCCTCCATAGTCAAATGGATCCGCAAGCTTTAGCCCTGCCCCTTCAGCAAATATTGGCTCTCCAAAGGGATCAGTCTTCCATGCTGCAAAAGGAGAAAAAAAGTTTTGTTATTATTTGTGTGCTGACATAATCACGAAACCAATCAATTTCGCTACATTACAGACACTTGCTAATCACTTGTACTCTAACTATTAGGGTGCGTTTGTTGCACAGATTATCTCGGACTGAACTAGCTTCAGGGACTAAACTGGACTGACTTAGACTAAACTAAGCTGGACTAACTTAGTGAAGCATTTGGTGCAGTGTCAGACTAAGAAGCAGGATAATGAAAACACTATTGTCACCAGAAGATTGGGACTAAAAACATAACATAATCTGGTGAGCAATCGGCAGAAAATTGGGACTAAAAACGTAACAAAATCTGGTTCAAAGCACCACTACTGTGATTTTATCTAACGCTACCATAGCAGTAGCAGCTCTTGAAGCTCCATTGTCAAAACCCGAAGAGAGCCACAGCCAGAAGCACTCGGTGACCGAGCGAATTGACAAACCCTTACCTTAGAAAGCAAGCAGCCGCGACCACCGGTCTGCAAGCATCTCTGGTCCTCGATGACATAGCGAATTCAAAAATAAGCGAAGAATAAACATTGTATAACTGGAGTAGACATTCGGTAGGGGTTCAGATAAACTTGATACATATTAAAGACGTCTTAGTTGCATTCAAATTATTTACCCAATAGCAGAACAGTTTTACAAGTTCTCCTTCATCTAATATTGTTTGGGCCCAAAATAACAGTTTGGGCCGAGGGAGGAATCACTTTTGGCCCGGGAAGACGTACGGCGAGAGGGTCGTAGGACGTTCAGCTCATGGGCTTCCAAGCCTAGGTCGGTTAAATCAGAATGCAAGTCGAGTCCTAATACAATAGGGACCCTTGACGAGATCTGTAAAACTAGAAGGCGAATCCGGCTCAGTTAAGGACTAGATTCGAGTCCTAGTAGAGATAGGACTGA